TATATATATATATATATATATATATATATATATATATATATATATAAGCATAAATAGAATATACAGATATAAAATAAACTTTGTCAAATATATTCCGTTTAGATCATAAAATTCTTTCAAATCTTTATGCAAAATACACTTCCTGTGCTTTGTCTGATTGTAATACCACAGTAAATGGTTGGCAGATCTTTACGAGATTCTGCATAAAATACATTTATATTGGCACCATAGAAGAAGGTCCCATTTCAAAAATCCTACTCACTTTTGTTGTTGTTTCACATGCAGAAGTGAAGTACACACATAGGAACATTCAGTTAATATAAATCACATGGTACCTAATACATATGTATGGTGCAAGTAATTAATATAGCGATTTTATAAAATATTTGGAAATTTTAACAAACCACTAGTTACGTTCTTATATAACTATTGGCATTTCATGTATATAGCGGTATATCATCGATAAAATTGTAAAAACTGTAATCATTTTCGTTGTACATACTCAAGCTAAAATTTTTTTACGCAAGTTTATATATAAAAATCAATTAAGTTACATATGTGCCCATAATATACCGGCTACGTTATTGTCATCGATACAACAATTAAAGAACTAAAATAAGAAATATTCAATATGTTCTCCATTTTCCCGTAAATGAATGATAAATGCAATGAAATGAGTTTGTCTTTGTTAGAGAATACTTTAGGAGATTAGTGCCAATAAGCATTTTTTGTAGTGTCCTGAGCAGTCACCCTAAAAGGAGAAAAAAGAAACGAATTAGATTTCATGATAGAAAATGCTGCGATTTGTATACTCTGTGTTTTAACGTTGTGATGCTTACAGAAATGAAACTTTCCAGTGATTCTCCATACTGCTGGAAAAACACATTCTTTATTTCACCCATATCTACGTCGCAGCGCGTCACAACCAGGCGAATGAGACGATTGTCGTTCGTGCCGAGACCCTTCATGCTCTTGTACAATTGCTCCGCGAAGAAATCGGCTCTATTCTTGACACACTTCACTATTCGGACATTGCAAAATGTTTTATCTCGAGACACACTGATCTTACATATACTGCAAAACATATGATACACTTACCGATGGCGAGTAAGCCCTTCTTAATATCGCCAGAAAATTCACTTTCAATCGCATCCTCGATATCGTGGCCTGTTATGTTCTGATACTCCATGAATATCTGTCTCAATTGCGGCATGTTTCTTTGGACGAGAATCGCGTTGAAGATGGACTCATCCGTACCGAAGCGAAGTTCCCCTGCAAAATATCAATGTTTGTAGAAAATTGAGAAGACTCGGCAAAAATGCATAACTCGATTGTCCAGAAGTAATTACCAGCTTGCAAAATTTGTCTAGCGTCTTCCATCGCGGCAGAGTGGTCCACGTCGAACGATTCATCTCTGTTAGCACAGCACAGTGATACCATCAAGCGTTTGAAGTTGCCGGATGTATCGGAAATCAAATCGTCCTCCAACGTTCTTCCGTACACTGCAATTATTAAATATCATGATCAGTGATATATGGAGTGATATATGGATATCTTTTTTACAATTCTGACACTATTCATCAGCCGACTTACTCGCTTCGTATGCTTGCTTAATGATGGATATTTCATGGTTCGACATTGTGCATAACACTTCAATAAGTACCGTTTCGTCGGTACCAATGCCGGACATCGCGTCATGGAGTTCTTTGGCATAATATTGAGGTACCGGCATCATCAGAGCAAGAATGAGTTTCTCAAAGTTCCCAGATAATTCAGACTTCAAGTCCTTTATAAGATCCTATTTAACAAAGACATAACAACAATACAATATTACGTTCAATTTCGAAGAGGAAGTTCGAAAAGAGATTCTGAATGACTACCTTTCCATAGAGAGTCTTGAACTGCGTCGCGATTTCCTGACGCTGTAGATTGCTGCGATTAGCCAGAACGTGAATGATACTCTTTTCATCAGTGCCAAATCCCTTCATAGCTTTCCTTAACGTTTCCGCATCCGCTCTGGCATCGAAATCATCGTAGGGCACGACAGTGGGAGAGATCTGTAATAAAATTCAGACAGACTCTTGAAGAGAAATCACATAAGAAGAATGACGTCGAAGCATTCGTCTGTAAAATTGTAACCGACGCTGCTTCAATCCATGCACACAAAAAAGCGTTCAATATCTCGCTTGTCTCTTCAAAATTTTATAAACTGCTATTAATCTCACCTTAGGCGCAAACCGGGGGGCCGGGGTGGCACTATGTGGAGCAGCAGTAGGTAGATTAGCTCCATAAAGATATTTATGATAGCCTGAGAGTACCCCCTGCCCCCCAGGGTAATTTCCGCCTTGGTATGGAATTGAACTCGCGTGTGCGGTCACGTGTGCGTTTGGTTCATGCAGGTAAGGGGAAGAAGCCTTGTCATTAAAGCATTCTCTAGTTTCCGGTGTTTGTTGTAGATTAGGATACATATTGTAACTCTGTTGCGGGTAAGGTGACTGCGTCGGCGGTTGGCCGGGATTGGCTGGATAGTATGGTGTAGGCATGGATTGAGGCATGGTTGGATATGGCATTTGTTGGGGAGAATAAGTGTGCATTGGTGCGTTGCTTGGAGTAGGATGCATAGGCTGAGTTGGATAAGGAGCAGGTTGACCACATGGTTGTGGCCTGCCAAAGAATGTTGGTGGTGCATTGGAGAAGCCCATTGAGGGGTAAGACAGAGCACCAGGGGCAGAGGGTGTACCAGGTGGGGCTTCAAACGATGTTGGTGGTCGTGCTCGTCCCGGAAATTGAACAGGTGGTCCCTTGGATATATCAAGGTATAAATAGAAAAATATGCAGATACTGCGTTCAGCAAAGAAAATTGCTTTGCAATTGTTGTAAAATCCAGGAATCTGATTGGTGTATGCTTTTAACCTTGGACAAATTCAACATTTTACAACAGTTACAAAGCAGCTTTCTCTGCTGAACTCAAGTTATTGTGCGCAAACTCTATGTTACTATGTTACAGATCTATTCTAACTATGACTAAGTTTATACGGCAGCTTAAAACTGGTTTAGTAACAATCGTATTTAGTAAACTCTCGCATCCGATTGATATATTTTTTTAGATCTAGAAATATATTCCAATCAAATTTAAGAGTTCACTAACTACGGTAGTTACTAAACCAGTTTTAAGCTGCTGTGTAAACAAAGTTTATGTTAGAGATCTACTGTCTTGGATTGTGATAGCAGAAAAGCTGAATGTACTCACTTGGTAACCGTAGCTCATTTTGCTTATTCAAGTGTCAAACTACCAGAAGAAAAAAGAACCTGTAATACACAAGGACATAAGATTACACACTTCCTCAATTCAAGCTGTGTCATAGAGTTAAAGTCCTGCTACTTGTAGGACGGCCATATTGATTTGATGACGTCAGAAGCAAGAAATGACATACCAAAAATCCTTTGCAATTTGTTGTTTTATTTTTTACTTTTCCTTGAAGAACCAAATATTTTCCTAATCCTGAAACTTGTAAAAAGTATAGAAAACTCAGATATCTAGCTGATATATCATGTAACATCGTAAAATAATTCCTGAAATAATGCTACATTTTTCGGCTATCACGGTAGTTTGACAGCTAAGATACCAGTCTGTACAAACACATTTAATTTCTCGATTTTCTCAATGTATCACCAGTATCACAGAGTTTGCTGTACATTTTACGACTGAGAAGATCACGATAATATATACACTTCACGGAGAAACTGAAATATAACGCGATAAAATATAAGTAATTTTCCGAGGTGTTAGGCGAAACCTAGCGTAAACCTGATGCGTTCGAGGAACACGTTATTAACGCTACCGCGTTCTTCTATCTTTATTGTACCTTAGATATAACAAAGATAGAATGATACAGTAGCGCTGAATAGCGCTAATAGCGAGCTCCCCGAACACACCTCTAGTATCAGTCAATCAGATACGCTGCACGGTTATTTCGTGTTCTCGACACTGCTAGGCGCCACCGTCAACTCCATATATATATATAATACTACTATATTGCTAAATGAGAGAGAAGTCCGGCCTCAGAATCACGGTGCGGGAATATATATTTCTCTTTCTTTCTGAGTATATTATGAACGTTATGCGCATGCGTCAGATAGATCGTATCCGCCAATGGAAAAATAAAATATATTTTACAAATTGCATGTAATAGGTTATATATACCATATGCTATAAACATGAGCATCCGGAAATGCTATTTATGCGAAAAAAAGCAGCTGCAAATGAAAATATCAGTTTACACAAGTAAGGAACAGCTATCCAAGTTAGATACATGTCACACACTGGCACTTTTACTTTATATTTATAACATCATCTGATCGCCGCGCCTGCACACTATGGTCAAAATACACTTCTCGAACATCGTCTGTCCTTCCATTCTGGAACAAGCTTCTCTTATAGCATATGGCGATTAGCAATATAGTAGTATTACATATATGCAGGAAGTAAAGAGCACATTGCAGATTAGACTTTAGCCAGAAAAAAATAGAGTACAAGAAACAGGAAGCAAAGAGCACATTGTAGATCAGGCTTTAAATCTCACGGCAAAACACTTGGAACACAAATGTGAGATGTAAAGCAGGTACATGTAAATGTAGAATCATTCCGTTAAAAGTAGGTCACGTGAGAACTCTAATGATAACGTGTCGTCACGTGCGAGTTGAAAGAGACATACACTTCGAGGAGAGGAGACCGCGGACGATCGATCGGTGACGCCCAATGAACACGCGGACGTGTTGTGTCTTCTTGTCGTTACGAAACACCGACAAACACTGTGAGCAAGCAACGCACCATGTCGGATTTTATAAGCCACGACGTCATCGATTTCCCACACTCACCTGTGGCATTTGCGTTCGTCGAATTCTGTTACGAGATCACTGGCTTCTGCGTCGCTTCCGACTACGTCACGGAACAAACGACTCCAATGATTGTCAAGTGCACGAATGGTCGAACACAACCAGAATGAGGACCAGTAGTGGGAAGGAAATATTGGTCTCACACAGCTTCTGGCCGGTTTGTTACGTCATAAGAAGCCGGGGAAACCCGTGAAAGTTACCGTTAGAGGGACGGATCGCGATGTGTGTGAGGTATGTGGAGCTCGAAATCTCACATTTGTCATTGGTTTCTTTCTTCTATCTTCTTCTTGATAATTACAGTGATTATTTTTGTTCGTAATTGTCTAATATCATAATATGCGATTGGCAATCGTATTACTCACATTTCGCGCCAAACGTATGACACGAAGAGGGCTCCGAGTCTCATCGGACAACCATGTTCGATAGCGGGTATCGATATCGAACGTTGGCAACTTCGCGCGAGTAATCGTTCGAAATAGAAGAAGAGCTCGTATAGCCGATGGTGTCGTTACTTTTCTGAACATCGCGATATTATTAGCGTCGTGTCATTGTTAGGAACTGTACAGGTCTGCTTTTCGGAATTGGACGCTCCGTTTAAGAACAGCTCGACGTTTCAGCTTTAATGTTGCTTGTCCTACAAGCTATGCTGTCAACGCGTGACTGATACGCACTAATGACTCGAGAAAATCAGCAATTATATTAATGATCCGACGCAAACACGCGATGTTTTCCACGCATACATATGTAATATACAAAGCGACCCGATTTCCAACACGAACAGTGCGAACACGCGGCCCGGTGCAAAAGCTCCTCTAAAAGTGCTTTACAGAAGTCACCCGTGATTCAATTGCACCGTCCTATATCGTGCAATTTCGCATCCTACATGTAACAAAGAGATAAAAGCATCGATACGACGCGAGAAATTGACGCGCACACTGAGAGAAACATATTTAATAAATAAAATATATTTCTTCGGCTGAGTTACTAATAATATATTTACTTACACACAAAATATTTGTTAAACAAGAAAATATACATTTTCTTCAAACCTTACATAGAAAAACATTCTTGTTTTGAAAATATCTTTATTTTCGACATGTAAATCTTCAAGTGAAATTACGTACCGTTAAATAAAAGAAGACAAGTTACTTGCATCAATACATTTTATATATGTGATTCAACCAAGAAAAATGAAGAAATAATTTTCATGAATGAAAAACCTGAAACATTGGATTGAGAGTATGTTTTTAAATGTCGGAAAAAGATATTGTTATCCAAATAATCACACATATTATATTTATTATAAAAATATTATAACATTCAAATAAAATGAAAATATTGTTGAAATTTAAGACTTTGAAATTCTGTCGAAATTATATATTGTTGCATATATATGAAACAATGATTATTAATTTGAGTATATTAATTTCAAATGGATACTCTAATTCTTTTTCTGCGTAGCTTTTCATGAAAGCAATTATTTATTCCATTCGAAAAATTTAGACTCAAGTAAATATATTATTAGTATCCACCGAATAAATATTTTTTATTCCGTGTATTTTTCTCTCGGAATGTAGTAGAATAAAAAAGCGAACGCTGGATCGTTCCGTACGCGGATAACGCGGCGAAGTTACGCAACGGCACGTAATCGGAAGAGGAAAGGAAGTAGTTGCGAGGCGAGGGAAGAGAGAAGCCGAGAGCCGTGAGCAATCTTCAAAATAATTTATTAAAAACGTCGCATGTTCGACACCTCGAGTCGGGGTGATCGGTAATGGTACAATTAGTAACTATATGCATGTCGCGTGAGCATGCTTGTCGGAGGATCAATCAGGGTTCTTTACGTCTGGCAGAGAGTGGCGGAAGGGGCAGTGAGACGGGGGACGAGGAGAGGGTGATATCGATCGTTATTGTTCTTAATTTATTGTGGAATAGTTAAATGGCGCGTGTTGTCGTCGCGGAACCATCAAAGTGTAGCGCGACACGAAATCGCGCGCGCGCGTCTAAATACAATCTCGTCGCGACAAACGAAAACGTTCGCCCGCTGAAAGTGCAAATGCAGTCCGCATCGTTGAATGATCGTCCAAGAACGCTAACGCTAAGGCCGGTCGGTGACGTCGTGTGACGCACTCGATTTTTCGGAGAAACAGTCGCGAATTGCGTCCACGAATAACGCATGACGCACATCGCGGCCTGATGATTCATGCGTATGGATCTTTACCTCCTCCGCAAATCGATCGCGCGTCAATCCAAACTGACGCAAACGCCGGTTGACCACGTAATGAATCTCAGCCTGACGCTTGAGCGCTACCGTCCCTGTGAATTATTTACTCGCGATGACTGCAGGAAAACTGCAACGAATGACGTGGGTAATTATTCCTCTCGAGATTGAAAATTAATCCTTGAGATCTCCTGGAAATATGAAACGCGCATTTCCAATTCAATTTCCTGCATCTTGATTAAACTCGATTTTTTCGTCTTTAGATTAGAAATATAAAACTACACTGAGAAAAAAAATTGACTAAATTTAAAAAAATGTTTGGATAGTTTGTGAAGATATTTGTTTAAGTAATTATTTTCTAAAATTAAATAAACAAATTTATATTTATTTAAAATTTCTTTATTTAATTTTAGAAAATAATTACTTAATTTAAACAAATATCTTCACAGTATTATCCAAACAAATGTTTTTTGAAATTTAGTAAATTTTTTCTCAGTATATTGTTTTAAAAAATCTATCCGTTGAATAGATTGAAATTTTAATAATCTCCGTCTGAATTCGGCCCTGTTATCCCAACGAAGCGCATTAGTTGTTAGCGCGTTTTGCATAACCAAGGAAAGATAAATTTTACTCGTTCCCGGCGCGTTTCAGCGTGAAGCTCTTGCGTTTGAAACGTTTCTTACAGCGCGATCTGTGTCGTCGCCTTCGAGTGGAGCACGATTGCGAATAAATATGTCATGTGCGTTTATGCGTGTTCTGCGGTAAGATCGCGTGCGTGCGTGAGTGAGTGAGTTAGTGAGTGAATGAATGCGCGCGAGCGCGCGTGTGTGTGTGCCTTTATGTTATTGTCAGATTTCATCCTGACTTCGCCGCTCACCACAATCTAATCTTCAGACAACGACCGAGAGGCACGACTGACGCATTTGTTATCACGAAAGATATAATATATATATTAATACAAGTCAAATACATAACCAGAACATATATGTATGATACATTGATGAAAACAATATGTATACACGTGTATATCTCTGAGTAGAAACACACTTTGCGGGATGTACTTCGCTCTTTTTCTCGTATATAAATTTACCTCTCGAGGGGAACGAATCGTACAAATAGTCTTCTCACTCATCGCAGTCAACGTATAATTCATTTGGAAACATTTCGCATTTGTTATGGTGATTTACTTGTTTAATATCGCCGTACAACTGGTCATGCCTGTCACGAAAGAGTCTCTTCAGTTCTTTGTTACGGTTAACCACGGTCATCGAGATCCAAATCGGTGCATCCGACCCGAATCGTTAAAGTTTCGTGTTCGACAAACGGCTTTATGCCATTCTCTCTCTCTCTCTCTCTCTCTTTCTCTCTCTCTCTCTCTCTCCCTCTCTCGCGGGTCGGATGTAAAGAGACGGATCATGAGATATGATCTCTGTGGATTTACAGTCGATCGAGTGCTGGCGGCGACGAGCGCGAAACGCGGATTTGATCTCGCGGCCGATCGCTGCTGCTCGCTCGAGCTGCGCGAATCGAGTCGCGCGTGCGCGATTTGCGAAAGCTCTCTTGCGAAAGCTCCGCAAATGCTCTCACTCGAACGAATAAATAAACGTACGGGCGAACGGCCCGGTCGCTCTGCTCGTCGCCGCAAAGTGAAATCGATCGACCGTGCTGTCGCGGTGCGTATGCTGTGAAACGTGAACGACGGCGTTGTTGACGATCGAGAAGAAAGGCGCTTCTCGATGTTGCAAAGTGGCAGTGGATGATGCAAAATTTGAGAAACAGCGAACGGCTCGAGTCGCTTGTTTCCGCGCGTGCCAACTCGGGACACGCTTGGCAGTACCCTTCGCCAATTCTGACGGGCTTTAAACATGTGCTGGCATAGCCAAAAATAAGAGACTTTCCGAGATCGTGTTTTTTCTATATGCTTCCCCGCAAGGGTTGAAACAACCATTCGTTGCTAATTTTGCGAATTTCGAAATATCTGTGTGTGTGTGTACAAGAAGAAAACTCGAAGAGAGGTTTCTATGCCAAATTCGGCTATGTATAATGAAAAACTCTTTTCTAAAATTGCACTTTTGGGATATGAGTTGCAAACGTCGCGTTACCATTAGCTGCGGACGTAGCTTTTATTCAGCTTGCAAAACTTCAGCGCTGAAAGTGTAATATACGAAAAATCAAGCTTTTGTTGAAACATTTTCTCATGTACCTCATAATTCCTAAAATATTCGCCTGCACTCAATTTCATCGAGTTACCTTCGAAGGGTCGTTTCAACCCTTTAACATGCAAGAAAGGGTATGAAAATTGTCTTATATTTAATAAATTTCTCATTTTCTCAGCTGCAACGTAGTTTGGATCTATCCAAATCGGCGGAGACATTGTCAAGTGTTTTCTCATAAGTTGACGATCCCGTACATCGTATATATATCGTCTAGACGATTATAGTTCGTGCTGGAGCCCTTGGGGCCCATTATTACTCGGATGAATTCGGATCTCGATAGTATCGAACGTGACATCTATGTGTTTCTATCGTTCTCGCAGCGCTGAAAATTGAACTTGCCGAGATCGCGTCGGCTTTAATTTTTGTTAATCCACGGTACACCATGGCCTGTTAGCGATGTCTGTCGGTGTTCTTGATTACAACGGCAGATTGATACAATATAGTGTGTACCCGGACAGTTGGAAGCTGTCCATCAGCTGTCGGAAATTGTAACGCAGTCAATTTGTAACTACAGTTAGTACGCACGTGTGTGTATATCCCGCGCGTTTTTTCTTTCTTTTTTTCTAATGAACAAGATACCGGCAAACTGTTATCTGTGGGCAGTCGTGTAAGTCGGCGCAGAGTGGCTTCTGGTATGCTTCTTAGAAAATAGCAAAACTACGTAACGAACGCGTATCGTTTTCTTGGCAGCGTGCTCTGAATTTCCCCGAATGAAATTCCACTCGGGAACTGAAATGACAAACGAGTCGCTCGAATTTCGACAATTTTTCACTCTCGCACCGTAAATTCTGTGCTCCGAATCGTCGAGTGATTATTTCCACTCGAAATTGAAGGGTGGGTCTCTGACGCACTCCACCGCCACTGAAATAAATCCGCTCTCATCTTGACCGTAACATTTACTTGTACGGATGAAGAATCCACTCTGAGCCCGTATGAAACGTTCACTTTTGTGATTGATGATGGCAGTTTAGTTTATGATCACTTCGAACGGGTTCTCATATACGCTTTGAGTGAGATTTCGCTCTAAAGCCCGTGTTAACAGTCATTGCTTGAAATTTGTCTCGAGCGAGATACTCAGATCCGAAGTTAGATTTGACTTTTTTATTCGAATCATATAATATATGTGACATTGCATTTGTAACCGCGCGATCCGGCTGAAAAACTCACGTCTAATTCTAAAGTCTGAGCATCTCACCTGAGGTAATTTTCAAGTAACGACCGTCGACACGGACCTGAAAAATCTACAGAGTAGAATCCTACGTATGTACAATAACGTCCGTATGATCGCAACACGTTTGTTTACATAATGACCGCGGCATACAGATGATGCACGAGACGACGCACTACGTGGTAGAGACGCGACTCGGTCGCGGTTGCTCGACCTGGTCGCGTAACCGAAGTGTGACGGTTCTCTTCGGAGATTGACGTTGATTGGTTGGTTTTTGACAGCATGCCTCTCCTTCGTCCGCGCCACGTGCTCGGCTATGACACTCGGGATCTCGATGAATAACGAGGTCAACCTTCTCCGTTGCTCGAGATTATGACGATAAGTTATGTCGCTCTTACTTCGTCGAAACGATGATTAAATAATCGTCGCCAGAACGCCCCGAGGACGTCGGACAAGAGCGTAGGAGAGTCGCAGGTGCGCGACGGTGGATGAAAGTTCACGATATTATCGATTTTCCGGAAAACAGGTGTCTCGGAGAGTCTTCTTTTTCTATAGAATAATAAGTGTTCTTTCTTTTTTCTGAGGTGAAATACCGTTTTAACGGCGATGCCCGTCACGCATGTCGTGTATATCTGATTATTTTATCGCGACTTCTTGCTGCATCGATGAGTACCGTAAAATTCCATCGTCGCCGGCGCGAAAGTGACTCGAAGTCGAGAGCAGGCAGCGCAAAATGTCGCGGAGGTGCACGCTGATGCACGTACACGACGTGCTTGGCGCTCGACAGTTTGATCGTCGGCTCTTGCAATCGCAGTTCGCGTTCGCATCTCCCGTAATCGCAGGATATGGATCTTATATCGTTAACAGAGTTTAACGCCTAAGAATCGTCTACGTGGTTACTTTACTGGCTTACATCGTCATCTAGAGTCGCTTTAATTCGCTTTACGATTATGCCTTATTTACAGTCGAAACACGAGTGAGCCGAGAGAATTGGCCGATAATCGAAAATCCGCCCGGTCGGCGGACACGCCGATTATTTACACAACGATCGATATTTACATGTACAATGGGCAATGGTGGAGCGTTTGCGCGTCCCATTTTCCTCGGGGCAATTTTACGCGGACAAGAGAAACGTTTGCTACTGAATTTCGTGAGTGCTACTGAATTTCGTGAAATTCTGCCCCAACAATGGAGTGACCTTTCGCTCGCGTAGAGTGAATTCTTCCATTCTGAAGCGTCGAGCGAACATTTTCGCACGAAATTCGGAAGAGCGAATCTGACATATTCCATCATCGCGCTGGAACAAACTCACTAACGTTCATTAACTGAAACATTCGCTCGTGCTCTTTAAAGTACAGCGTTTTCTCCACTGAAATGTCACACTTATAACTGGTGGTTCAAGACATATGCAAACTGCTAAATTAGTTGCAAAAGTAAAAACTTAGATTTAATGAACCTGTATATTACAGATTTTGTAGTAAAATGTTACTTCCACTGATCAAAATCAGTGAAAAATTAGATAAATAAAGTCGAAAGATTTTTACAATGTAAATCAGTGAATACTTCACTGATAATCGGTGAAATTCAGAGATCAGTCGGTCTTCTTACTAATTCAATCAAAAACACTTTTGCTGATTCACTTTAAGAGAGCTGGATTTAGTAAATCATGTGACGAATTTGTGTATTGCAGATTTTGTGAAGTAGTAGTGTTTTCACTGAAAATCAGCGAATACTCATTGATCATCGGCGAAATAGTCGTCCTACTGATTCAATCAGAAACATTTATACTGACTCGCTTGAAGAGAGTATAGATCAAGAACTCCCTCTTTGAGTCTTCAGCATTCACTCTTGTGACTGGCAATGTTTTCACAGTCGCTTCGAGTGAATGCTCACTTGTTTCCAATGAAATTTCTCACCACGTAATGTCAAGAGTACAATATGTGCTCGCCACAACGTGTCGATGCAGATAAGCAAGCTATACACAATCCCGACAGGATTCGATAACTTCAACAAGAACGGCAGATCCGCGGCTTTGCGATGCAGCAGGTATTTTCGTCCCTTTCCGGGAAAAATCACCGCCCGGAAAGGATGCGGCTGCGCAAACGCTTGTTTAACAGGTTTACATCTGCAGCTGAAGCGATAGGACGGCGGAGATGCCTCTCAGCTGCTGGCGATCAGCTTGAAAATCGCGTCTCGAGGGCTGTCTGTCCTCGTCGTGTCCGGTCTACCGGACCTAATCTTCTCGAGGATGAAACACGTGGGAAGTGCGTGCGAGGCAGTCCACGTCCGCGCGGATTCGAATCCGCGGCGTCTGGAGACGCGGAGGTGTCTACATGTATATATCGCGACTCGCCTCTGCTTCAACGCAGATTAATCTTAGGTCGAAGAACTTCGGTTCTCTTGAAGACTTCAGTCCTGGAGATAATTAGTCGAGCCGTTTATCTTGTAAAGCGCGACGCAAGTAAGTCCGGTCTGTCCGGGAGAAATCTCGCTCGTCGAAATTCGCGGAGTCTCGAAGACTCTTCATCGTCTTCCTTCTCTGTCCTCTTTTCCGGATAAACAGCTTGATTGTTAATTCCACGGTGACATCGCGCCGTTTAAGAACTAGCTTCGCAACCGCCCCGGTGTAACTGACTGACGCGCGAGCCAGAGCCTCAAGTTCGTCGGGCTTCCGCATCTCGTTTAGACGTAACTTCATCCCACATTAAGATCTCATTTGATCTCAGCCAGGACCGAAGTTTCGCTGCGCCTTGGATGGCCGGGACTCTCTCTTGCAGAGTTTCGAGCAATTACGTATTTCGTTCTCTTTCTGCCTCTCTCTCTCTCTCTCTCTTTCTATCCCCTTCTCGCAGCGATCAGTTTCAAATTCTCAAGGATGCCTCGAGCTTCTCTTCCACTGCTCCTTCGTTCGTTCGTACATTCAAATATCTCAAACGTTTTACGTTGGAGTAAATTATGAAATTTACCGCCGCGAGTCCGACGGAGCGGCTGCGCGCGAATTCACGTCGAGTCGTCGCTCGAGTCGAACGAAAGCGTCGCTTGATCGACGAAATGAAGCGAACACTCTCTCGGTGAAGACATCAGAAAGACCACGGAATCGGTACAAACCGATTCGGCTTCGCCGATTGCGTGCTGCTCGCCGATCCGCAACGCGCGGGATGTCTCGCAGATACGCGGATGGTGATCACGCGAATAGCGGCGATAAAACTTCACCGGGACGGCAATAAATAGGCGATATGGACGTCGAAGCCGCGCGTTCTACTCCCCGGCAGTCGTGCTCGAGCCGCGGCGATACACCCCATCGGCTGGGGCATTTCCTGGCCGCAATAAACTTTTACAGTCGCCGGATACGCGAACGCCGCGGCCTTCGAAGGCAGTGCTGGTAACACGCGATGACAAGCTCTTCTACGTGGTTGTTGTTTACCGCGGCCCGATGTGGAGCGCGCGTGCGACCGCGATGTATGGATTTCCATGTCCGCTCGGAGCGATTGCCGGATTTTCGGATAGGTTCTTTCCATGCTAATGCCGAGGAGACGGCACGTGCGCGACAATAGTAACGCAGCGGCATGATCTGCGCGGAGGAAACGTTGCAATAACAAACACGTCGTATTGCTTTCTACAGAGCTTTCTTGCAAAGCTGCACGGAGAAAACAGTATGGCCGGCTCGCACATAAGTCTGGCTGTGCCAAGTAGATTCAACAGCGAGATACGGAACAGTTGATTATGTGCTGCGGTTGCCGCAACCACAGAGCAATCGTTGAGTTACAGTGACGATATCGGCTTCGCTCCAATCAGAATATGTTCATGGTAAATGTCAGCCCAACCGATTTCTGGCTGCCACGAGCGGATCACGCGCGACTACATCGACGTAGTTGATGTGTGCCAAAATAACTGGGTCGTATCAACCATACACATTATCAGCACACAAAGATAAGTGAGGTAATTACTCACAATTAAATATCTCGAGTTATACCACATCCTTTTCTTCATTCCACGTGGACAGATTACAGAAATTTGTCAGTCTACCTGATATAAAAAAAGACATTCAAGCGATTACAACAATTTTGTGATTAAATTTCAAACGTACATAAATAACATTTTGAATCAAATATATAATAATTTCGGCCACACAATATTCTGTATGGTCCAAGCATACACTATTGCAAAAATTTGATTGTAATTTTGGCTACAATATTTTCGCCGTGTGAAGTATTGTTGGCAACTTATCTCAATTGTTTCCGGTTATCTAGGATTATTTCTGGTAGATCGATGACAGGAGGTTCCTATCAGGATCAGAAACGATCGTGCAGCGCTCATTATCGATTCTCAAAGCGCTAATTCGAACGAAGTCGCGGTTGCATCGGGTGCTGCCGCTCGTTCCGTCTTCGTGGTATTGATTTGGTCGTTCGTGCATTGCGCGATGTATGCCCTATTTAATAAACTCGACTAAGAACGAACTTAATCTGATATATCAATAATTCTTCTAACTTAAGAAAACTTGAAGAGTGGCTGTCGTGGTATATACATAGATTCTTAGATTCATATCGCCGTATTTCGCCATCGCATGAGAGACGTCACGGTGTGTTATATTACTTTTAAAAGGAGGTCACCGTCTGCGCTCTGTGTGGCGTGTGGCTCTGTTGGTGTGGATGTTTGTGTGTATGTATTATATGCGTGTTTGCTGTACGTGTGCAGAACAATTATCTTTTTATTACATCTCCCCTCTCGGCGAATTAAAAGCTGTTGCTATAAATGATAAATCATACTCGCGTGTGCGTGCAGAACTTTTCTGCAGGGCGCGGTTAATTACGTGCCGCTGGCGTTTCGCGAATTAATTTGCTCGTGTCAGGAGCGATTAACGTAATTAGAAGGAGACCTTCGCGACGACCTATTTTTGGAGAAAAAAAGAAAATGTTCTCTGCGGCGGGCGGACTGGAACACATCAGTGAAGATTACTCAGTATCTGGGTCATGGCTTTAAAGCCGATATCGCCGTGTTCGGCCGCGGACGTGGCTTTAAATTACGAAAGTCAATATTGCAGATCGTGTAAAATAGATCGAAAAATTTATTTCCTCCGGCTCGGAGGTGCGCGTGATTACTTGAACTCGACGTAGTCCCGACGTATCTTAATGTGAGCAAATATTTCATTTTCTTTCATTTCACTTTGGGAAATCGCCGACGACGGTGGCAAACGATCGATTCACGAATAATTCATTCACAAACGATCATCCTTCGCGAGAAGATTTGTTTCTCTCTCTCTCTCTCTCTCTCTCTCTCTCTCTCTCTCTCTCTCTCTGTCTTTTTTTTTCTTTTATACGCGTGGCAGTGCGAATTTTTTTAATGACGGAAGCAAACTATTTAAATAATCAGTCTTTGATTCTCCGAATCAGTCGTGTGGCAAATGTGTTAGAATTCTGATATTTTCGCATGCGATATGATCGTACGATCACTTCGTTGGCAGGCCGAGTATTAATAAAAGAATGACATCTTTGGTCCCAGGTAAATGAAAACCCCGTGAAAGATAATTAGCGCAATGTCCTGACCTGGCATCTGTCGTGACACGAGCAAAGCTTTAGCTTTATTCACTCCCTCGTGGAGAAAATTGACTTCATCACATTATTCTCTTTCTACTGTCTTACTTTGTACGTTGCCTTTGAACCGCTTGATCATACGAGCGGAAAGAAAAGGAATCAAAGTATGAACGCGGGTTCGTACAAAGTCGAACGGAAAAACGTCGGAACCGTGACCTCCTTTTCGATAGAAAGCTCCGTATTGCTTCCTGAGCCGAATTTTCGTTTCTACAACGTCAATCTCGCAAATTTCGTCGAATGTGAAGAATTAATGGAGAATCTCGCGGTACTACAATGACAGAAAAAATATCTAAGAAATAAAAGATATTTATTCGGTGAGTTCTAATCACGTATTTACTTATACTGATATAAAATAATTTTCGAATAACACGATATATATTTTCTTGAAATCTTAATTCTTCCTGAATGCAATTGTTTATTTCATTTAAATAAAAGAATTTGGAATAAAATAAACATGTTATTCTGTAATCTCGAAATACTACAATGAGAGAAAAATATTTAAGAAATGAAAAGACATTTGTTCTCGCGTGGCTATTATAATAACGTATTTACTTATACCAAACATATAAAATATTTTTTAAATAATAAGATTTCCTTAGCTTTTCAAGCAATAATTAGAAAGCAGTTGTTTATTTTATTTAAATAAAATAATTTAGATTGAAGCAAACACTATTATTGTGCTCACTGAATAAATATCTTTGATTTTCTCGACACCTTTTCTCTGTACACTGCGCGCCCCGGGATTCTCCGCTTTGATCTTTGAAATTCAATAGAATTCGACAGAGTCAAACAACGCGAAGCTGAAATTTCGATTCGGATTCGCCTCGATTGAACACAAGATACAGTAATCAACGAAACGTGCTCGCGCGCAACGTCTCGCCATACACTCTACCGTCTGATTGATTCGCGACGTTACTACTTGTACGTAGCGCGATGTATTACCCCGAGGAACGTCCACGAGCACCGAACAGTCATGTGGTCAAGAGCCAAGTGAAATTCGCTCCGCCGACTTTCTTTTAATGAAGCAGCGAACAATGAGGAACATCGACAATCGTCCCCGTTCGGTATTTCGTGTGCGCGCACACGCGAGGAACCTAAAATTATTACACTTCCTCCGCACATAGGATCTTCGTCCTGCTGGTTCCTCTTCGTCGGGTGCGTGCGGTAATTATCGTGTGTTCAGAGAACGATGAGGAAGTAGTTGGCGGTGTTCCCGGCTAGCTGAGAGCGTGCTTAGATCCCGCGTTCCTCCTCTTCGTCGACGCTTTGCATCGTCGTCCTCCGCTTCTTCCTGCCTCGGATGTCTCTCGAGAGAACGTACGCGATTCCTACCGCAATTCTTCCAAGGTCTACGCTTATCGACTAGTAGTAAAGCGGCGGGATGCGAACTTCCGCTCGCGGCCCACGTCGATGCACCACCGTTCAGAAGATAACCGCGATAACGTCGCGTGTGCGACGGCAAAAAGGTTCTCCTGCGGGATTTCGGAGGCATTTCCGTCAGCTCGCGAGGAGAGAGACGGAGAGCTTGTCTCTTGTTGTCTCGTGCACTGGATAACCCCCGAGTTGAAACGTTGATCTTACTTTCGACCTCAATATTTCTTTTGACGTCTACTTGGGTGTTCTCTTTAGAACCCACAACAAGTGGCATCCGCTGTGCGTTTTCTGCCACTTAAATATACGCCAAGTAGGACTTCAGTTTCCATGTGTATTGAACGTTATCACACTGATCCTTCAGAATATACAGATGTCGGCAAATTCAGGTCGAAAGCAGGGCTAAAACTTCGACTCGGGAAGAAAGAGCGGCCTTCTCCAGGCTCTCGCGCGACGCTTTGCAAATTTGATTGAACACAGGCGACACATTAGAGACCTCCGAGTCGCGCGAGAAGAGTCTAGCCAAGGTGTTAAACGCTAAAATTTTATCGCCTGACACTATGGCTGTAAAATTCAAGTGACAGACTCGATGGTGTTGTCGCGACTTCTCTATCGGCTGCACCTCGGAATTATTCAAATAGGACTCCCGCGCGACCACTGCATTCACGATTCCCGCTGGGACAGCTGTAATCGTAATGAGAATCCGTAATGAGAATTCTGTTCTCGTGAATTAACGAGACGCCGAAATACGTAGCTGAAGACCGTTCGTCACGTCACTTCTAAATTAGTTGATTGAAATTAGTCGCGGAATTGCTAACTGGACGGCACGGTGTGTGCGCGTTCGATGAATATTCTACGCGCAGCGTTAGAATATAAGAATGTTCGGAGCGAAGCTGCCGCTTTTATTTGTATTCCACTGTGTCGTCCGAAAAGAAGTTCGCGAACGAGTTCTTTTAGCGAAAACCAAAAGCGCGGCGGTGGCGGGGACGCGCAAGCGGAAGTGCACATGCAAAATCGTTATCCGATACAAATAGATAAATAATCGATTATGTACAAGTATGAACAAGGTGTACAAGCCGCGGCGGTGTCACGTCGGTGTGCTCGTACGCGTGTGTCCAAGACGAACCGAGCGGCCGGACATTCTCGGCTCCAAATCAGTTATTGTGTCAAAGGCCTTTAATCAATACCTATACACGGATATTGTGGTGTGAGAAATCAAATTAAGCCAGAAAAGTATGAAACATTTTACCAGGTTTAACTTGATTTATTTGCACCAGTGCCAGTATCTGCCAATGTCCATCAAACCTTGATTTAAGTTTAAATTCTATTCAGACAAAGACTTAAACTCAGGTTAAAATTTAGTCGACGTTGGTAGAAATGTGCGTAGAACAATTAAGCCTGAAAAATGAAATATTTCATCAGGTTCAACTTGACTCATTACATCACAACATTTGTGTGTAGGTTCTCAAAGGCGCTGGATTTATTCATTGATTTTGATATCAGCACGCGAAAAAAACAATTCTGTTAGTGTAACTGAATTTTCTGTTGTCCGGGAAACAGATGAAAAAGTAGTAGGAAGAGAAAGATTTCTCTGCAGGAGATTTCGCCCTCACTTACTTCAACTGAGTTTTAATGCGGCTGAACGTTCAGACGAATGTTCTCGATCATAGTAACGGGGATATTATTTCTCGTCAACGAGCTTTTCATCTGGTATCCATTCAGTTACACGAGCTGAAATGTTTTATCCGCGCAATTGACCAAGTAAAAACCTGCTGCGGGAATCCTCGTTCCTACAACCGAGTTTTTCATCTAGTCCCCAAGTAACAGAAAATTCAGTTACACTGACAGAGTTGTTTCTTCCGCGCGCAGAGCCTTTTTCACGAGAATTCTCCATTCGCCTGGCTTTGTCTCGCTTTCGATCTTCTGTGCGTACAATTCTTGACTCTCAGGACGACGCGACGCGATGCGAAAAGAACAGCGAGAGGATCGAAACGGCCTCTCGAAGTGCGTCCCTGCGCCCGATAGGCGCCGTCCAACGCCCGGCGTAACAATGAATGTCGGAGCACAGCTCCGAGGAAAACAGCATTATATATTATCACATAATTCCAGGCTACTGAAGTTCTACACATCGTATTCTCGCCTCCTCCTTTCGCCGAAGTGGCATCACTAAGGTGAGTAATTAAGTCGCCTAAAGTCGGCTGTCGCCCTTTCGACTTTTGGTCAATATCTCTAGCTGAAGACGCTTCCTCGCCGGCCAAGGCTGTGCCCCGACGCGAACTGCGGCCGTTCTCCTCCGGGTGACGACGCGAGTCGTTCGTGAGGGTGAGATCGCAGGTGTCACGACTTTTCTTCCTTGGTCGCGGCACTTCTCGCGTCTTCGCGGCGCTTTCTGGTGAAACTTTTCGCATCCTCGGTGCCGATCGCAATCGTCGTGAGCCGTTCTTTCGGTCGTATTTTTCATTTCTCCAGCCGCGTTGCGACAGCACGCTGGTTCGTTCGCGTCGAGACGCAGCCCTGAGCGCGATGCAGACGTCCAAAAGAGGTCTGCGGCCATGATACGTGGAGGAGAGCCTCGTGCGGTCATTGTATCGCGCTTCCTGATGTATCTTACGTGCTCTCATGAGACCATTGACGCGATTATCAATTGATGTACGAGGATGATTCGCGATTGGCCTGCGTGATATCGACAACACTCGGTGATGCATCCGAAAATTCTCACTCGCAGCCGCGCGTCGGCGACGTGAGTAGTCGACTACTTAACGTGGCAGTTAATGATCTGAACGGCAACGAGAGTCCAAGGTTTCTCGCGTTATCACGGCCGCAATAGTGCGCCACCGCGCCGTTAAGGTTTTCGCCCAGGAGATACGGTAATCACAGACTCAGGACATGAACTTCAGCTGAGGAACCAATCAGGATATTGCTACAATTTTGTTTGCTCTGGAAAAAGATCTGATTATGTGCAGAAGTAACTGAGATTCGTCTGGTTGCAACCCTAGTTACTGAGGTTGAATTCTACTTACATGATCACTTTAGTCTTCTTCTAGCTAGAAGAATCCTAAAGCAATATCCCGATTGATTCTTTAATTTAAGTTCACGTACCACGTTCGTGGTTACCGTAATTCGTGTGCGAGAGTCCTTAGCCTTTGGAAAACACGTAGAGAAACGCACATTGAGAAAAAAATACTTAAACATTTATTTGTGGCATATGAAGTTTATTCATGGAAATAATATTTATTTCGCACGAATAAGCTCTATTTCTCAGGACAAACTTTACACTCCGTAAGTAAATTTTCAAGTATTCTTTCTCGGCGCAAGTAGTAAGTCTTGAGCAGTAAGAAAATTGACCAGACACATTTATTCTCGGAGCATAAGAAGAATAATTGAGAGTGGTGGATCGATTTGCTTACTGCTTAAGCCTTATTACTTCCCAGTAAACAACAACTAATGGTAACAACAACTAACGTTACATCAATGTTACAATTTCTCATTCAACAATGCAGGTGTCATGTACAATATGTGTGTGTTATATTAGACTTATATTGCATGAAATCTTAACGCTGATGTAATATCACTATTAGTTGGTGTTTACTGGCTTACGTTTCTCCGCGTGTCTCGGAGCTACTGACCTCCAGGTGTGTGTCCACTTCCTCGATCGACGTCTCGACTCATCTAACAACCTCGCGACTCGACTTGAATTGGCGGCCGTTCTGAATTACCTATTTTTTTTTCCTTTTTTTTTTACAGACGATCTCGTGTGTGAGTCATGTCACGCGCGTGTTTCTTCTCCCCATGTTCTTCTTCTGTCCTCACATCTCTCTTTCTCTTTCCTTAGAAAAGAGCATGGGACGAGACGCGGGGAAGGTACGCCCGGCTCTGTACACGATCGCTCGTGTCTCTTTAGTGAACTCTTAATTCTCACGAGGAATCTAACGTTTATGGTACTAGCGCGTTGCGCGCGACGCTCGATGTCTCGGGTCTCTGAACGAGGTGTTTCTTAATAATTCGCGAGAGCCGTCGATCAGGCCGACGTGGCGCCTTGATCGATCGAGGAGCATCGCCGATAGCTCCGCCGTGGAAGACGCGTCCACCTGGAGCTGGATGTCGCGCGACACGTCAAACACTTCGTGGTCGGACGAAATACACGGTCCCTAGAGAATTTCGCCGACGGTGGTTGCCGAGCGAAACGAGGACGATGAAAAAGGAAGCGGTTGCGTCGACTGGTCTCGCTAACTTCCGCGGAACTTGAAACGCAAGCACACGCACCGGGGAAATTAGCTGCGACCGAGGAGGGTAGACCGCGTTTAAGGTCAATCAACGTCGGCAAAACTGGCCCGTGGTAACTCTCGCTCGCAAATCCGCTAACAAAGCACTATCGACCCGCCCGAGCCCACCGCATCGTTCACTTATTACACTGTCCAATCTCGGTTATTAAACGCCACAAGGTGCGCGATGCTCCGTTTAGTCCTACGGCTCTTCGAGCTAATCGTCCGAGTCCGGCGAGCAAGGCGCAGCGTCGCTCGATCCGCGGCATCGAGTCATTCTACCGTAATAGCGACGTACTACTAGGATTTTATTATTTATTGTCCTCGTTAAAGTAGTTCGCACTTGAACTCTGCGGCTTATGTTACGCGTTTTCGTTTCCTTCTCTCTCTCTCTCTCTCTCTCTCTCTCTCTCTCTCTCTCTCTCTTTTTATCTATCTGCCGTTCTCTCTTGCGTTTTTCGTTCCTTCTTGAGATTCGAGGCTCGAGATGACTCTCGGCGGGGAATCGTTTGCGAAACTTTCTCATGGGACGTGTAATTGCTCTTCGGGAAAGTGATCAGGCATCGCGAGCATAATAAGATCTCCTCCACGTACGCGCATGATAACGAAAGCATCGAAATTGGAGAAGAAAATTCCCATTTTCTTATCGGGAAAATGGGAGCGCTTCGATGTCTGCGCAGATAAATCAAAGCCGGGAGCGGGATTTCGCGCGTCCGCTGAGTCGGCCGTGGGACAAGTCCCGAATATCGTTAGACCTTCCGTTAGAAAGCCGCGAAGCGATCGCCCTGAACCAGGTAAACGAGGAAACTGTATTGGCAGTGCATCGTTAGACACCGAAATGTCGAACTGCACAACGAGTAACTTCGAATTGTTCCGGCGAAATCAAACGTTTGTATCTTCATGCCGTTATAATTTGCTAATCTATACGCGCTTTCGTTCTGTAATCTTTTGACGTTCTTCGCACGCACGCATCGTTTCATAAAATTACAACTACCTGAAGATACAATCACTTCATTTGATCCGGGAAATCTGAAATTACTGATTGCACGATCCGACATAACCGTACCATTAAATATAACAACACGTGTGATCACATGTCAACGCGTTAACGAATGAAAATTGGCAGCGATTAAACGACCCGTGTTCTACTTCGTACCGCTGTTGCAAGCGACCTCAGCGGACTCAATTCTAAAACAACACCTGAATATCTATCCCATATTTAATTTTCAACGAGTTCCGTGATCACAGATCGTCTTTTTCAACTCACCCATTGTTATTTCCCGAGCTAAACGAGACTCACCTCTCTCTCTTTTCTCTAACTCTCTCTCTCTCTAAATCTCTCTCTCTCGGCCGGCCGAATGGAGCCGAAACGAAAGCGCTTCTTCAGCAAGGAGACATGGTCTCCTCATCGCCCGAGTCATCGAGCATCGAGCACGTTTACCGAGCAGCAAGAACCGGACCGGTTCTTCCGCCTAACTTCTTCTCCCTTGCGATGCGACAGTTCTGCGCGTTACGCGGAGGCGTTTCCGCGGATCCCCCAGGCGGGTGGTTCTCGGCTCTTCACGACAGGAGCAGGAGGAGGAGGTGGAAGAGGAGAGCCGAACGTCTGAGCGCGCTATGGAGGACCGCTGGAACTCGAACCGACCACGAAAACGACGACGACGGCGACGACGACGACGACGGCGACGACGACGACCACCACGTGGACGGCGATCGTCACACGGTGGTGACCCGGTCGACCTCGACGTAACGCACAGAACTGTCGCTGTGTCAGCATATCACTTCCTTGCCGTCGATTATCGCCGTCTCGGAGGAGATGCTCTTCAGCCGGTGCTGAGATATCGAGCGGCTGGTGCGTTGCCGGCAAGCCCGCCACACGGCGAAGCAGACCACGCTGAGGACGACGATCACGGCGAGCATAGCCAGGATCAGGTGCAACGGCGCCAGTTGCAGCAGCACCGAGCAGTGCGTGAGGGCCTCGTCGTAGCCGGAGGGACAATGGGACACTCCGTCGCACCACAGGGAGGCGTTTATGCACGCGTCCAGCTCCGGACAACGCTGCTCGCAGTCCCGCGACATTTGCAGGCCCGCTGTTGACGTCACCGACGGTCTGCGGGTCAGAGGATCGATAGAATTATTGTTCCGTTGCGCAACGACGAGCGTCGTCGTCGTCGCCGCCGTGCGCGGCGCGCCGGCTTAATCGAGGACAGATGACGTCGAGCGGGTATTAATTAAGGCGTTTTCCAGAGAGACATCCCCGTGCCATTGCCATCGTGCCCGCGCGCTTCCTGGTGAAATACACCGAGAAGCGCGAACGGCCTTTTGAATACCTAGAGCTACTTTCCTTAACCCTTTCGTTGTGGAATTGTACAGTCGTTTCCAGAGCAATTTAGACACAATGAAGTCGGGAGCTCGCGAAACTGTCATTATCGAGAGAGTTCTTAACGATGAGTTTATGCAGCAAAATTTTAATTAATAATATAATTAATAAGAATTAATAGTAATAATAATAAATTATGTAATCACTATGACCCCGTCGGTAATAATTCTCAGTTGTGATACAGTTTAGTGAAATCGTAATTTCATTGTTCAAACCATTTTGCAACTAAGTGTACTTGTTAAAAAATTCTTTCATTTTCTCGGATGACACTTGTTTGCGAATTTTTTAATTATTTTTTCATTACTTTTTAATTATTTTCTGATGAACTTTTTTAATTATTTTTGGTTCACTCCTGCTGTGAGTTGGACATGTGCATATTTCTAAAAACGTATATGTGTATATGTATGTGAATGTAGAGATTTATACAAATATGGGTGTGTCTCTCATTTTTTCGTAAATAGGGGACAAATTTTTCAGGATATGCATATGCGGGAATTCCACAGCGAAAGGATTACGAAAGGACGTACGAGATTCGATATTCCGCATTATCATTGCTTTGGATATAGAGTGTCTTAACGTTACTCGCGTTACTTTCCACCGTAAAGTTTAGATTATCGATTGTCGTTTGCGTCTCGCGCAGCACAAAAAGGGCGTGAAATGTTACAACCTATATTATACTTTAGCGTTATATTTTATGCATAACGTTAGAGCGAAGATACCTCTCTCTTCGCAACTCTCAAGCAAAAGCACGAATATATCGCGTGTGTCACTACCGGGAGATAGGCAATCTTCGTTTCTACGGGATTAATTATTTCGCGCAAGAGATTGCGAAAGTTACGGATAAAGTTGGACGAAGTTTAATGAAGGGATTTTGAAGAAGAAGGTCGCGCGCGCCATTGTGAAAATCGCGTCAATTACGTTCTACCGGTGTCCGTTGTGCCCATCAGGCAATACACTTTATCGACTTCTAAAAATACTTGCAGTTAGTGCAACACCCTCTCGAATTAAGATCGATACGAACCGTTTTCTACTTTCCTTGTTGCCGCCTTTTTCACTTCTATTTTCGTCTGTTGACATGCCTCTCACGCGCACGTGTAAAAATACCGTTTACTACGTATAAAAATATCGTCTACTACCTTCTGGTGAGCTCGAGCCATGTGACCGTGTAGGAAGCCGGTTCTTTCACGATGAACTCCACGGCGATGGTTCTGATCGGGTCCTGCCCAGGCGCGAGGATCATCGCGTTGCTGCTGACGGCCCAACCGTCGCTGAACACCTCCACCACGTGGTGCTGCGAGTCGGCAGGTGGTTTTGGACACACTGACACGTGAATTGCGCCGCCCGTGTGCACGACGATGCGATTCTTCGTCGCGCATTTCGTCTTGTTCGACATGATTATGCCGTGCATTTTCACGTACAAGTACTGACTCGGGCCGGGGTCGATCAGCCACGGCTGGTTCTCGCAATTCTTCTGGTAGTGACAGAAAAAGATTATTGACACGTTTCGGGTGTCGACACTTTTAAATACACTTTCTCTGTAACTAAGAAAAGTGAAACAGGCACCCACGATCACGGAAGGGACAGTGAGATTAAATTACGTAGCTTGATTATACAGGCTATCTGGCGCAAAGTGTTCTATACCTCGTGTGCACATGTAGGTTAGGTCAAACTGAGCAAAAAGTTCCTCTATCATTTTGCAAACAATCACGTAAGATATTGAGTTATTAATTAAAGAATATTAATACGTCATCTTGTGCGATTATCCGCCAATCTCGCGATTCTGTTCTTGTGATTTTTCAATTCTGATATTATGAAGTTATTGATAAGTAAATAATTGAATAAATAAGATATATATAAGTTTTTGAGTAAAGGTTACTTTTTGAAACTTATCACGTCGCATGTTTCCCATTCGTTATCGTCACTGATTTTAGAAAATAATCAGCATTACTAACGAAAGTGGAAAGGACGCTGTTACCAAACTGTTACTGAAGAAACACGATAACAACGTTACAAGTAATGTGTCTTCCTTGCTTCTCTCAACTGCATATACATTTATTCATGGCGAGCTCTTCTCGCTTACCTCGTCCTCCTTGGCCGGTGATGTGTATTTGATTTCGCCGGACGGGCCCCTGACTCTGCGCTTCTGCAGACAAGGCACCGTCTTGACGAAGTCCCAGGTGCCCTCGAAGAAGAGATTGTTGTAATCATCCAAGGCGTCCATCGACAGAACAGTGAAACGCACCTCGGCGAAATTGGAGATGGATTTGATATTGATGGGCAACGATCGATTCGAGCAGAGACAATCGCGCTGAATGGGCGGCGCGTTTGGCCAGGGCAAATCGAGCACCTGTAAACAAACGGCATCCGACGGGATGATCGTTCCCGTAATTGTATTGCCGATTTATCGCCTTTTAATCAATGATAGTGATCGAACACGCTATATTCTCCACGAGCGCGTCGCCGTTATTATTTCCACGGCGAGCGCGGAATTAATAATAACGGTAATAATAATAATAATAATAGAGTAATAATACATAACCATACAAAATAATAATATTAATTCTCTGTGTTATTTGCGGGTCATTTTGTGAACCATCAAACAGTCCAGTAACAACAATTTCATGTTTTCCTCGATTTTGTGGAAAAAGGTATTACAAACATTGGAATCTACAACACACATTTTGAACAAGAAACAGAGACCTTCGGTAATGAGACAAAATTTGGTTCCGATCTCCTTTGCTCATACATGGGGAGAAAATGAATTATACGGAGGGAGAAGGCTAATAATAATAATATTATTATTTACGCGATATATACTCAGAAAAAAAAAAACATGGCGACGGCAACTATATAGCTGACAACTGTACGAGTTATCAGTTATATACTTTAAACTAAAGCTTTAGTTGCAATATATAACTATAGAAATAGTTTATTGAACTATATACATTATAATTCTACACACTAAATTCGTATAGTTGTCACTTTATATTTGCAGTTATCACATTTTTCTCTGAGTTCAAGTATCCGCTCGTCCTTTTGAGACTCTCTCCCAAGAGGAACCCCGAGGCGATGAATCGCGGGCACACTTGCGCTATTGAATCACAATCCCGCGCGTGTTCCACTAATTTCTGCGTTCGCGTTCGCCAGACGCTAAGAACTAATGTAAGACAAGTCGGCAGCGCGCGCGCACACATCTATAAGTCCGATTCATTACGCTATTGATTACTCGGGGAAACTTCGAAGCCTGCCGGCCTACTTCGATCTACTTCGTGTTTGGATTCGGAGATTGCTGATACTTGTTATCGCGCTGCTAAAGCCACCGCCGTTAATTACTCGATCAATGCCACCTGTTACCGGCGATTGTACGCTAACCTTCCATTGTACCGGTCTGTAATTAACGTCGCTGGTAACTTCGCCGCGGAGCGCGTATTCAGCGCGATTCGCGACGGCGGCGGCAGTTTGCGATTATATTCGCGAACTGCACGCGGCCGTAATCAGGGTGATTTTTTTTGTAGCGTAAATTCTACGAATAGGAAGGGATCGGGGAAATTACACGACGGCGGTGTATCCAAAATGAAGCTGGCGACATAGCGCCAATCGATCGCGAGGACTCGATCTACCCTTCCATCGAGAGACATCGGTCTTGCGGTTTCGCCGCGCACGCACCTCGCCGGGTTTCTCCTGGTGGCGGCGGATAAGGAGAGGCAGCGACTAATCGCAATTACCAGGCGATTTCAATTACGTACCTTCACCGAGAAATTCTCAGAGCCAACGCAGAGTAGCCTATTGAAGTCGGGGCTGGTAACGCTGCGGCAGGTGCGATTCCCATTGAGGAGCTTGTTGAACCTCAGCTTCACCACCTCGTCGTGTTCTCCTTCGAAGCGGTACACGCAGCTGCAAAACCCGTTTCTGGCCTGCACTTTCAGCACTTAATCGAATCTACACGCCTCGCCGGCCAGGCAAAGGAGTCGGTTCAGTGATCGATACTGCAGAGGAAGATTACGAGCGTCGGAGGTTGGACGCTCGTTAACCGGCCAAAGTATTTCTAAGACTGGATCGTGAGAGCGTGCGGGAGTTTCCTGCCCTCTTTTCGGATACCGCGAACGAATTATCTTACCCCGCAGGAAGAAGCAGCAGCAGGAGCGTTCCTTTCTTGCCTTTCTATCGCTCTTGGCCGGGAAATGAAACTCCCACGGCGAGCGCAAATAGCAATTTTATCGGGCCGAATAAAACCGACTTTACGTCTTTCGACGTCAATCTGGGTCCATACTGGATCCAGGATGATTTAATAGCCCCCGGACGCTCTCTCTCTCTTTCCTTCTTTTTTCCACATTCGTATGAAATTTCGAAACTAGAGAGGCTACTCGCGTAATCGTTACGTTTGCACGAAGCTCCGGCGAAATTTCGTAGGAACGAAATTGAGCGCGAATCGACCGGGTTCGCCGGCACGTCGCGCGACTGAATACTGAATAAGATAAAAAAAGAGAAAGGAGAACAGAACGTTATAGGGTGCAATATCGAACGTAACGACGGAGACTCCGATTTGCCGGTAAAGAGTATCTCGGCTCGCCGGCTGTAAAGCTCATTTTTACGGTTGTCGTAAAGCCGCGATCTAACTGATATTTTATCGGCGTTGTAGGGAACTCGATCCAAGCGCGATGGACAGTAATAAAGGAGCGACGCGCGCGTACGAACGTCGTCAAAGGCGCTGTTCCCTATGTTCGTTCCTTACGTGGAAAGAATAAGTGCAAGCTCGGCGTATTGTCGCCTCCTGCCTGCAAGTCCACATGCTCGGACGACGTACGACAGCCATGAAAAGATCTCGCGAAAAGACGGACGCGCTGTCTTATCCGGATATCCGCGAGTGAGAAAATGTTCCTTTGGCAGGCAGGAAGGAGAAGATGAATAAATTCGCGGCAGTATAGTCAAGGATCCGTGGATCCTTCGACGACGACGAAACAACGACGAAACTTTGGCGCGTGTTTCAATTATTGTATGAGGCGCGTTAATTCCACAACGTGAGACCATCGATAATAGGAACTATATTATGTTTGGTTAAATTTATGTGAGGCAAATATACTGTACTAAATTATTAAATTATATTATTATGCAATAATGTAAATCCTTTGAAATATTCATTCAACAACAAATTTACTAATTAGTAATTTACATCTAGCAACGAATTAGCCAATTTACTGACTGAATTTACGGAGAATTTAAGTGTAATTTAAAGATTACATTTAGATTTCCATAATATATTTTGAATATTGCATGACATATTGTTTCGAGAAAATTTTTAGTATTTTCTTTCTATTTCTTTCATTTTCCGATTGGAAATTTATCCTGTGATCCTAATTAGATCGATTCTAATCAATTATTTGGTTTGTGCAAGATATATATATATATATATATATATATATATATATATATATATATATATATATATATATATAATGTTATTAGGTCTTAATTAATGTATAATAATTTTTATCATTAATAAGAACCTGATTGCCACGTTGCGTCATGTGAAAAATCGATAATACTATTTTACATAAACCAGCTAACTAATTGGGATCAATCCGATCAGGATAATAGAGTAAATTTTTGGTGGGGTCTGTGTGACAAAAGTGCCATATATGAGCCACTCATGAGAGAGGTAATCTTTGCAAATCGACTATTAATGTAATAATAATCGACTAATAATGATATAATAATATAATACTAATAAAGCTACTGCGCCAAATTTACGTATACCTGTGTATCCCGGGACGTTCGAAATTGTCGTTTAGCGTGCGCTCGATTGGTATCTCCGTTTCCGCGCTACATCATTCGCAGATCGCTCGATCGCGGGGAAGAAAAAAGACTACGGCGCGTATATTTTACGAGGAAGGGCGGGCCGTGGTGCGCACAATGGCCCGTTAATAACGAGCCGCCACAAATTGACGTATGGGAACGAGTTAACGACGTCATTATCGTGTCGTTACATCGTTACATTAGCTTTCACGACGGTGTCCCGAGCGGACGTGGGCCCACTGTAGACGATAGACCGTCATAATGTCAAACTGTCACCGCGACACTATCGGCGGCCGATCAATTATACGACGGATAAATGATAACGCGCCGGCCGTCGGCGAAGTCGCGCGATCATACCGCGAATTCCGCCGCAAATTTCCGAACGCAAATGCCGCCCGGGGAAGTTAATGGACGGCACATGACACACGTCAATGACACGGATACCTCCCCAGAGCTGAACCAATTTCAAGACGCGACTCACGGTGTCTCGCGTGTGCACACCTCAGAGCCAGAGACGCTGAGTACGTATTGTAACGACGAGTCCCGTTCACTCTCTCACCTTATGTTCTTTGATCCCCCGCGGCCGTACAGGAATATGTCGCGCGGACCTTGGAATTTACGGTCGGGATAATGGTCCCGGCTGCGGCTGTAGAAGACACGGGAGCACGGCCCAGTGCCGTACGGCTCGCCGTCCTGATGAAGATCGACAAACTCGTACAGAGCACGAAAGTTTACGGGTCTGAAAGCAGCGTCGTCACATCGGACCCATTAATCTTGTAAAGTTGGAAAAATTCGCGAGGCTCCTCGCGACGAGAAAGAGAGAAAGGCGGAAGCTATTAATTAATTAAACTGCATTAGCGTCAAAGGTATCTCACGTTGAGCGTCGAGAACGAGAGAAATCAGTTAAATGGAAGAATACGAAGGAATGATTGAGAGCCGATAGAAAAAACGTTCAATTGATATCTCGAGATGAATAACTAAGGGATTTATTTAACATTACGCTCACACACGAAGAAGAAGGGCAGTAAAAGCCATGGAATGTTATATGTATCTTGTATCAAAATTTTTATATATCTAGAAATATTATAAAAAAGAATAATTTAATTCTGTGTTAATCATCAAAATTTTAACTTTCGTATGTTTATTTTCTTAACACAATTTTTTCTAATTGGAATTATAAAAACATTAATTCGATATTAATGCCTAAAAATTGTGTTTTAACAAAAGATAGCGCGCAGTCTAATTGTTATTATTCTCAACATAATTATAAACTACTTTCTTTCGCTCTATGTAAGTGAGAAGGTAATTCTATATTGTCATATGATACTGAAAGGCGACTCAAATTTCGAGACAAAGGGGAAAGGGGAGAGGATAAAAAAACTCAAATTTGCGTGATAAAATTGCCGAATAAGAGATTATTTTCTCACTTCCATTATGTAATACTCTAACTTTTATAACTTTCTAACGAGGCATCGCTGGATCCGCGTTCACGTCACTCTATTTCTGCTCGCGGAACGGCGCGATCGCTCGACTCGGAAGCACTCGGTATCGACGCGACGACGCGGGGGTTGATGCGCGCGTTGTCCGGCGAGGTTCGGCGCGCTGATGAAGATCGACGAACCCCGGCGGCGTTGTGAAAGGCGGCTAAGGGTCTTGAAGAGAGCGTTGCACCATCGGCACGTTGATGTTATTAAACCCTGAGCTTATTATAAAGCTCGCTCACTCGCTCGCTCGCTCGCGCCACGCCGGTAGGCTTTACTTCGCGCGGAAAGGATTAACTAGACCGTGCGATGCATCCGCATTGCACGTCGCTCACACCGTCCGGCTCGATCACGCTCGAACACGCCGATAGCTACACGTGCGCCAGGAAAAAAGAAACGTCGAGGAAACGATGCACGCGCGTCGAGATACCTTCCCGTCGATCGTACGTGATGGTGTGACAAACGGATGTAACGCGTGCGAAATGCGAATCTGAGGCCGCACACGGAGAAATATCATTCCACTGCTAAGAAAAGCTCAATTCACTTTCTCACTTATAAATATAAATTTAATGGTTGTCTTTAGCAAAGAATATTTTCTTATAAGCTCCAAGTATATTCATCATAAATTTGAGAAAGCTCAAATCATGATCACATGTACTCGAAAGAAGAATTTATTCTCTTTACAAGAATATCGTGGAACTTTATCGAGGAAAAAGTTGCATCGATTTTATGTAAGAAGTAAATCCAATTTTTGCTACAATTTAATATTCTTGATTAAAGTTATTAAACTTACTCAGAGTGTATTTCGAATAAATTTGATGTTTATGATGAACTAATAACAGATTTACGGATATATAAACTAATGAAATATTTGAAACTTATAATATTTATTTCGATGCAGTATGCATTTTCCTATGTGTATGTGTGCCCGTCAATGTATGTATGTAGAGGAAATCGAGTCTAGAGGGCTCAAGGATTATGTTGCTCACATGTCTTTCTTCAATATTTATCTTAGGAGGTACAGTGGACACAAAATGATCCTTTTAGGACATAAATATTCTTTTTCCCTGAGTTTCATTAAAGTTGGAATAATATTAACAAATAGAAAAAAAAAACTAATTTAGTAGTAGCACAAAGTAAATTTTCGAAATTTTATATTAATCTTTTCGTGAATAAATAAAGTTAATCTTTTCATGAATAAATAAAGCGACATGTTACTAGCTAGAATGAAGTATGATATATTGTTTTGCATAATGAAAGCAATTATCATTCATGAAATGACTGAAATCACATGAGCGGACGAGATAAAGTTGGCCCATAAAGAGACTTCTCGCGAAGTTCCCAGAACTACTGACCTGGATATGTATTTTATATGTGGCCTTTTTATCCTGCTGCACTACTGAGCAACTGAGCCCGGTATCAGGGCAAGATGGCCACGTTGCTGCATATTTACGTTTTAGTTATCACAGAACAAAATATACTGTTAACAGGGTCACGATAGGCATTGAAACATAAAAGAAGACTGTCTCTATCAAGCTTGTGCAGTCAGTCGCAACAATTAGTTTTGTGAGAAATTGTAACTTCGGAATTCTGAAATGTAGGTCAACTGGCCCCGTCTCTCCTACGTGTGTCGTTGACAATTGCGCGTCGAGGGTGGTGGAGCCCTCAATTATTCATCGGCGAGCGGCCGATCTCGATCTTCGTCGCGTATAACTGCACTCCGGAGGTTCGTCGACGCAATGTGACGCGACGCGATGTGACGCGACGCGACGCGGAGACCGCGAACGGCTGAAGAATAACGGGAGCGACGCGATTAGCATCCGCAAGAACCGTTGTAATCGCGATTTAATTACCGTGACGGCGGGTGTTCTCGTGGTACGTGCACGCGCGCCTATTGTTTTTCGGTTAAATAGGACGGGAGAGGTCGCAGGGGGAATTTCGCCGACTACAACCCTCCCGAGACTGGACGAGAGAACGAGAGAGTCTTCGTGTCGCCTCGATCGATTGTTTTCAGTCCTCACGTGTTTCTTCAGCGAATCAATTATGCATCAAGCGTGAGAGCTGCGACACGAGACGCATCACAGACTCGTGCATCTAAATTAACGCTCATGGATAAACAATACGCACATGGCGCGACAGGCGAAATCGGACGAGCGCGTCCTGAATTCTGCAGTCTTCGCGCAGTTTCGTCGAGACGAGACTCCCGTGTGTCTTTTTCTTTCTTTTCGTATTCTTTTTCTTTGTTTAAACCAACGTGGGTTCATTTAAATAATTTGTAAATTCGCCGAGCAACGAACCTCGGTCAAGGGAGTAAGGTACGGCACTCTTGCGGAAGGCAGAAGGGCGTGTATAAAATTAAGCAAATGGAACGCGGCGGAGGACGCCGCGTGTCTCAGCGGGTTCCTCTAAATTCCGTCGCTATATTTCCGTCGCGGAGGGTGCGGGAAGCGAGAAGAAGGGCGAATCGTCCCTCATGAATAACCTATATTGGAGGGAAGCGGCAACGGCAGCGCGCGCGGTGACGGCGGCGGCGGCTGAAACGAATACTACCGCGGCAGATATTGCGCCGTATTGCCATAAAATGTCCCCGCATTCTTCGCGAGAGCAACGCTCCGTCCTCGTCGTCGACTGTTCGATATGCCGCGCCGCGCCGTCGCGAGCGCGAATCGAATCAGATGAAACGCGGGATTACAAGTGCGAGTTGGCGCGCCACTTCACGAGCGATTTACTATCTGCCGATATGTGACTCGCCGATACGCTCTCTTTCCCTTGCGGAATTTTTCGTTGGTCTATTAATACCTTCGCTTTTCTCTCTTTCACTGTCTCGTCCATTTTTCCAAACGAGGGACGTTTGTTATACGAAAATGCCTCTCCGAATATTTTTCGAGCTTCTCTGAGTTTTTCCTCTTCGGATTCGCGGTTGTTTTAATGAATGCGGTTGTGTCAATTTTACTTTATCCTCTAACAGATGTTTCCCGAGAAGAAATTGTGTTGGATTACGTAATCAATAATTTCGGATTTGTCAAGTAAAATAAAACGTTCGTATTTTTATGTCGTAATTTTATGAAACAATGCATATGTCGTTTTGATCTACCAATCTTAGCATGTGTTCTTTCATAAAATTACAATGGCATAAAAATACTATCGTTTCATTTTACTTGAAAATTCCAAAGTTGCTCATTACACAAAGTAATATATTAGGACCTTAACTTAGTTTCCGCCCAAAAAATACTGAGAAAAAGCATTTATTGTAAAAAATTTATTTAAATTATTTCAATGAAAGTATTTTCCATCACTTTCTACAACTTTTTGCCATCTTTCTGGCAACTGGGCGATACCATCT